TCATGGTGTGTTGCCAACTGCGGCTTTACTTGAGCCTCCCTTTTGGGTAATGTATCATGGTGTGTCACCAACTGCTGGCTTTACTTGAGCCTCCCTTTAGGGACATGTATCAAGGTGTGTCACCAACTGCTGGCTTTACTTAAGCCTCCCTATAGGGACATGTATCATGGTGTGTTGCCAACTGCTGGCTTTACTTGAGCTTCCCTATAGGGACATGTATCAAGGTGTGTCACTAACTGCTGGCTTTACTTAAGCCTCCCTATAGGGACATGTATCATGGTGTGTCACCAACTGCTGGCTTTACTTGAGCCTCCCTGTAGGGACATGTATCATGGTGTGTCACCAACTGCTGGCTTTACTTGAGCCTCCCTGTAGGGACATGTATCATGGTGTGTCACCAACTGCTGGCTTTACTTGAGCCTCCCTGTAGGGACATGTATCATGGTGTGTTGCCAACTGCGGCTTTACTTGAGCCTCCCTTTTGGGTAATGTATCATGGTGTGTCACCAACTGCTGGCTTTACTTGAGCCTCCCTTTAGGGACATGTATCAAGGTGTGTCACCAACTGCTGGCTTTACTTAAGCCTCCCTATAGGGACATGTATTATGGTGTGTCACCAACTGCTGGCTTTACTTGAGCCTCCCTATAGGGACATGTATCGTGGTGTGTTGCCAACTGCGGCTTTACTTGAGCCTCCCTGTAGGGAAATGTATCATGGTGTGTCACCAACTGCTGGCTTTACTTGAGCCTCCCTATAGGGACATGTATCATGGTGTGTGTCACCAACTGCGGCTTTACTTGAGCCTCCCTGTAGGGAAATGTATCAAGGTGTGTCGCCCCTGCTGGCTTTACTTGAGCCTCCCTATAGAGACATGAATCATGGTGTCTCGCCCACTGCTGGCTTTACTTGAGCCTCCCTATAGGGACATGAATCATGGTGTGTCACCATCTGTGGCTTTACTTGAGCCTCCCTATAGGGACATGAATCATGGTGTGTCGCCCACTGCTGGCTTTACTTGAGCCTCTCTTTAGGGACATGTATCATGGTGTGTCACCAACTGTGGCTTTACTTGAGCCTCCCTATAGGGACATGAATCATGGTGTGTCGCCCACTGCTGGCTTTACTTGAGCCTCCCCATAGGGACATGAATCATGGTGTGTCACCTACTGTGGCTTTACTTGAGCCTCCCTATAGGGACATGAATCATGGTGTGTCGCCCACTGCTGGCTTTACTTGAACCTCCCTGTAGGGACATGTATCATGGTGTTTTGCCAACTGCGGCTTTACTTGAGCCTCCCTTTTGGGTAATTCATCATGGTGTGTCACCAACTGCTGGCTTTACTTGAGCCTCCCTACAGGGACATGTATCATGGTGTGTCGCCCACTTCTGGCTTTACTTGAGCCTCCCTATAGGGACATGAATCATGGTGTGTCGCCCACTGCTGGCTTTACTTGAGCCTCTCTTTAGGGACATGTATCATGGTGTGTCACCAACTGTGGCTTTACTTGAGCCTCCCTATAGGGACATGAATCATGGTGTGTCGCCCACTGCTGGCTTTACTTGAGCCTCCCTATAGGGACATGTATCATGGTGTGTCACCAACTGCTGGCTTTACTTGAGCCTCTCTTTAGGGACATGTATCATGGTGTGTCGCCCACTTCTGGCTTTACTTGAGCCTCCCTTTTGGGTAATGCATCATGGTGTGTCACCAACTGCTGGCTTTACTTGAGCCTCCCTATAGGGACATGTATCATGGTGTTTTGCCAACTGCGGCTTTACTTGAGCCTCCCTTTTGGGTAATGCATCATGGTGTGTCACCAACTGCTGGCTTTACTTGAGCCTCCCTGTAGGGACATGTATCATGGTGTGTCACCAACTGCTGGCTTTACTTGAGCCTCCCTGTAGGGACATGTATCATGGTGTGTTGCCAACTGCGGCTTTACTTGAGCCTCCCTTTTGGGTAATGTATCATGGTGTGTCACCAACTGCTGGCTTTACTTGAGCCTCCCTTTAGGGACATGTATCAAGGTGTGTCACCAACTGCTGGCTTTACTTAAGCCTCCCTATAGGGACATGTATTATGGTGTGTCACCAACTGCTGGCTTTACTTGAGCCTCCCTATAGGGACATGTATCGTGGTGTGTTGCCAACTGCGGCTTTACTTGAGCCTCCCTTTTGGGAAATGTATCATGGTGTGTCACCAACTGCTGGCTTTACTTGAGCCTCCCTATAGGGACATGTATCATGGTGTGTGTCACCAACTGCGGCTTTACTTGAGCCTCCCTGTAGGGAAATGTATCAAGGTGTGTCGCCCCTGCTGGCTTTACTTGAGCCTCCCTATAGAGACATGAATCATGGTGTCTCGCCCACTGCTGGCTTTACTTGAGCCTCTCTTTAGGGACATGTATCATGGTGTGTCGCCCACTTCTGGCTTTACTTGAGCCTCCCTGTAGGGAAATGTATCAAGGTGTGTCGCCCCTGCTGGCTTTACTTGAGCCTCCCTATAGAGACATGAATCATGGTGTGTCGCCCACTTCTGGCTTTACTTGAGCCTCCCTATAGGGACATGAATCATGGTGTGTCACCATCTGTGGCTTTACTTGAGCCTCCCTATAGGGACATGAATCATGGTGTGTCGCCCACTGCTGGCTTTACTTGAGCCTCTCTTTAGGGACATGTATCATGGTGTGTCACCAACTGTGGCTTTACTTGAGCCTCCCTATAGGGACATGAATCATGGTGTGTCGCCCACTGCTGGCTTTACTTGAGCCTCCCCATAGGGACATGAATCATGGTGTGTCACCAACTGTGGCTTTACTTGAGCCTCCCTATAGGGACATGAATCATGGTGTGTCGCCCACTGCTGGCTTTACTTGAGCCTCCCTGTAGGGACATGTATCATGGTGTTTTGCCAACTGCGGCTTTACTTGAGCCTCCCTTTTGGGTAATGCATCATGGTGTGTCACCAACTGCTGGCTTTACTTGAGCCTCCCTACAGGGACATGTATCATGGTGTGTCGCCCACTTCTGGCTTTACTTGAGCCTCCCTATAGGGACACGAATCATGGTGTGTCGCCCACTGCTGGCTTTACTTGAGCCTCTCTTTAGGGACATGTATCATGGTGTGTCACCAACTGTGGCTTTACTTGAGCCTCCCTATAGGGACATGAATCATGGTGTGTCGCCCACTGCTGGCTTTACTTGAGCCTCCCTATAGGGACATGTATCATGGTGTGTCACCAACTGCTGGCTTTACTTGAGCCTCTCTTTAGGGACATGTATCATGGTGTGTCGCCCACTTCTGGCTTTACTTGAGCCTCCCTTTTGGGTAATGCATCATGGTGTGTCACCAACTGCTGGCTTTACTTGAGCCTCCCTATAGGGACATGTATCATGGTGTTTTGCCAACTGCGGCTTTACTTGAGCCTCCCTTTTGGGTAATGCATCATGGTGTGTCACCAACTGCTGGCTTTACTTGAGCTTCCCTATAGGGACATGTATCATGGTGTGTCACCAACTGCTGGCTTTACTTGAGCCTCCCTGTAGGGACATGTATCATGGTGTGTTGCCAACTGCGGCTTTACTTGAGCCTCCCTTTTGGGTAATGTATCATGGTGTGTCACCAACTGCTGGCTTTACTTGAGCCTCCCTTTAGGGACATGTATCAAGGTGTGTCACCAACTGCTGGCTTTACTTAAGCCTCCCTATAGGGACATGTATCATGGTGTGTCACCAACTGCTGGCTTTACTTGAGCCTCTCTTTAGGGACATGTATCAAGGTGTGTCACCAACTGCTGGCTTTACTTGAGCCTCCCTATAGGGACATGTATCATGGTGTGTTGCCAACTGCGGCTTTACTTGAGCCTCCCTTTTGGGAAATGTATCATGGTGTGTCGCCCACTGCTGGCTTTACTTGAGCCTCTCTTTAGGGACATGTATCATGGTGTGTCGCCCACTTCTGGCTTTACTTGAGCCTCCCTGTAGGGAAATGTATCAAGGTGTGTCGCCCCTGCTGGCTTTACTTGAGCCTCCCTATAGAGACATGAATCATGGTGTGTCGCCCACTTCTGGCTTTACTTAAGCCTCCCTATAGGGACATGAATCATGGTGTGTCACCATCTGTGGCTTTACTTGAGCCTCCCTATAGGGACATGAATCATGGTGTGTCGCCCACTGCTGGCTTTACTTGAGCCTCTCTTTAGGGACATGTATCATGGTGTGTCACCAACTGTGGCTTTACTTGAGCCTCCCTATAGGGACATGAATCATGGTGTGTCGCCCACTGCTGGCTTTACTTGAGCCTCCCCATAGGGACATGAATCATGGTGTGTCACCAACTGTGGCTTTACTTGAGCCTCCCTATAGGGACATGAATCATGGTGTGTCGCCCACTGCTGGCTTTACTTGAGCCTCTCTTTAGGGACATGTATCATGGTGTGTCGCCCACTTCTGGCTTTACTTGAGCCTCGCTTTTGGGTAATGCATCATGGTGTGTCACCAACTGCTGGCTTTACTTGAGCCTCCCTATAGGGACATGTATCATGGTGTTTTGCCAACTGCGGCTTTACTTGAGCCTCCCTTTTGGGTAATGCATCATGGTGTGTCACCAACTGCTGGCTTTACTTGAGCCTCCCTGTAGGGACATGTATCATGGTGTGTTGCCAACTGCGGCTTTACTTGAGCCTCCCTTTTGGGTAATGTATCATGGTGTGTCACCAACTGCTGGCTTTACTTGAGCCTCCCTTTAGGGACATGAATCATGGTGTGTCACCAACTGCTGGCTTTACTTAAGCCTCCCTATAGGGACATGTATCAAGGTGTGTCACCAACTGCTGGCTTTACTTGAGCCTCCCTATAGGGACATGTATCAAGGTGTGTCACCAACTGCTGGCTTTACTTGAGCCTCCCTATAGGGACATGTATCATGGTGTGTTGCCAACTGCGGCTTTACTTGAGCCTCCCTGGTAGTGACGTGCAAAATAACATACAACACAATCATTGAACAAAATGACATTTACTGTGAAATTTATTCCTTTACAGAGCAAGAAAGGAGACACATTTAATATTATCAACACAGAATTAGTTCATGGACAGGTTCTTCAAAGAAATAGTTCACAAAATATCAAGACTAGTAATTATCATTCTCATGTTAACAAAGTAATTTTGAAACCAAGTTACCAAACGTCTTTGCAGTTAGAAGCTACCCCACCCCAGCAACTATTCCTCCACTGGCAGAACCTATCCATACAGAAATGGCAGGGGCCAGTCAGTGGCGACATAGTCATCCAAATGGTGGTTGGTAAGTCAAATAGGATATATAATAATAGATGCAGACATTTTGTAAGATGCCAATAATAATAAAGCTCAGCTTCTTCAACCTAGTGATGTCAAAAATAGTGCCACGGCTACACTGTAGCTCACCTGGAAGACTACAACTTCACTACAGTACACATATAAAACTCTCAGGACAACCAATGAAGTAGCGATTGTCTTTATGTTCTTCTCGTCGCCTGCAACATTCCAGAAAAACAACTGAGAACTAAACCAGGACCAGGAAGGCCAATTCCAGGCACTTCCTGTTTTGTAACTCCTGCTTGCATAATATGCCTCAATACTGGATGCACAAACATTTCCGTTTCTCTCAACTACAACTATTTACCATTGAGACACTGCAATATGAAGAACCACCTAATTATGTGTCATAACCTGAGTCCTTTATCTAACAGTGATCTTTTTCATCTATCATTTGAGGGGCCGTGGGGTAGCCTAGTGGTTAAAATGTTTGCTCGTCACGCCGAAGACCTGGGTTTGATCGGTTGGTTTAAATCCACCACTGATGGTGTACATCTCGCCACTGACTGTCACCCTGGTGTGTCAACACATGGAAAACCATCTACAGAACTAATCCAATCTTGTCATAGTCATTAATAACTCCAAGCACTTGTATCTCATGTATATACATCATCAAGCTTGTTACAGGCAGAATGCACACAGCAAAATATGTGCTAAACAACATCAGTCATGAGAATCTCGCCAGATCGGCATCGTCAAGAACATGTCAACATAAACTGTACACAGTGGTTGATTAATAAAACACTTGCAGACAAACATGTCACCCTTGTACGCAGCGCACACTTTCGATCAAACTTCTGAGGACTTGTAGCAAGCAAGCTCCTCGTCGTCGTTAACAGAGACAGATTTGTGAATACATACATCGGGAAATGTCCGAGTGTGCTCAATCTGGTATCACACAGACCGGCCTCGTCTGAGGAGCACTCCTGAATGGATGACAATGGTCAAGATTTCGGGGACTCGGACCAAATATACATTATGGATGGATACTGTTATATTTAGGAACTTTGAAATCAAATTCATTATTATTTTTCTTCAAATTTCAAATTGTCAATACAATTTCACGCTTTACTCTTGGGTTTTAAACATGGCCGTAGTCACTTCAGGGATGCTCCCCCTAACACATGCAGTCTTGTTTATTTCATAAATAACAGAATTCCATGATACATCAATACAATAATACATTTCAATAATGTGGGACTGAATGTAGATGGCAGCATCACTCAAAGATGTCGTTTTGACCTAAGATATGAACTACAGGAAAAGGTCAACTCATCATTGGAGCAGAGGGATTCTGGGTAATCCTCACGCTGAAACATTACGATGGAACCTCCATCCAAACACCTCATTGTTCAGCCAACATTTGGGAATAAATTATTAAACAGATGACAGGTGATCTAGCAACAGCAGTAGCACCAGTTCATACGAGAGCTTGAGTCAGAAGTGGCTGTTACTACAGATTAACTCCCTTTAGCAGCTGCCCGATTAACAAACTTCATGGTAACTCCTTCGGTGTAATTGAGATTTACATTGGACGAGATTGCAGCAACACAGACATGGTCAGAGGCTCCATCAACTACAAACATCTTGAATTATATGTTCACGTCTGCTTTGTGTTTCAAGGCATGTTCTACAAACTGTTGACACTCCGAGCGAAAATTGTAGAAGAATGCAATGACGTGTCCAAGATCAAATCAGTTGTGTTCTGTGACAGAAATCCTGGTCACTGCCGCGAGATGTTTCTCCAGGTCACAGCAGTTCATGCACCAAGCCTGCAAGACGTTTGTATGGGTCCTGTTTTGTTGAAGTCTACCCTCGGTCACACCACGCTGAACTAGCAATCTCCTTATCACAGATATATGCACCATTTCATACATACATGTCAAAATAGCTTGTATTTATCAACATTCACACTGATATAGCTTCAGATCATATGAATGAGAAGTCAAAGCTCTGAAAACAGCAGCTTGCAAAGTCATATGAAAACCCTTTTCAGCTACACCAACTTTCCAGATAGCTACGTAACTACTCGACCTTGGGCTTGGCACTCTTCAGCACTAAATCAACCTGCCAAAATAGTTCTTGCACTCTTGTTTGCAACAATTTCAAAAACGGAATTATTCCTACAATGCCAAGTCAATATATCCAACTGGGAATATTCGACATGCGAATGCTCTGTTGGGTCTGTAATCCAGTCCAAGGCAATCTCATTCAAATCAGATCTAAGTTCTCGCTCTCGCTGAACAAAGATCTGAGGACATCTCATTATGGGTCACGACAGAACGACCTTTCGCAAAATTTGACAGACCACAGAAATGACTGACAAGAAGTCGACATCAGCCAATTAGAAAGCAGCTTTCTTGAGCTTTACGGCACTTGTTTCAACCTGGCAACTTCCATTTCAGACTACAATAAAATATGTTGACACAGTTCTTGATTAAAATTTTGTTAAAGGAACAAACGAACATTCTGGTAGTCTAATATATGGTTGAGATTGTATGGCAGTACTTCCCTAGTACTGTGCAAGGCCTCCTCCTTTCAAATGTTTATCCCACGGAAGCGACAGATAGATGATAATTTTGACGGAATCAGTTGTTCGGAATACCCCGTGTTTCCGGTTTCAAGGTTGCATGATTTGAAAACACATTCTGACTGTCACTTTCATGATCTGGTAAGCGACCCTTTGATTGGTCAGATGAAAGGTCATTCTGACGTGACCCGTAATGGGATGTCCTCAGGTCTTTGTTTAGCGATAGCGAGAACTAAGTTCTGATTTTAATGAGATTGGGTCCAAGGCTTCTCGCTGCTAACACTGTTGGTCAGAAATCAGTTCAAGGAGGCAACAAGATCAGAGTGAGACTACACATTGCTTTAAGCCACATCAGCAGTACTGCAGCAAGGACACACCGAGGAAAGGCCACAACAAACTAATGAGCTGTTCATCACTAGTGTCCTGGACTTATGCTGTCATTAACAAACTTGTCATTACAATATAAAAACAAAAACACAATCATCCTCACGTTGACAAAACAAAACATCTGCCAAGTATTTCATTGTTGTGGCCCCCCCCTGTATTCTAACCCAGACCCGTCCAGGGTGTGTCAGCAGGTGATGAGGCGGATCGATGAGGACAGACAGGGATTCTCTGTACAATTCCAGGAGCCAGGATCACAAGACATCACTTGAATTTTGTTTCCTGTCAAGCCACAAACAGAAGTTTAAGTACACATTCAAGGCAGAAACAGTTCAATTACATATTCCAAATAGCTGAAGAACATATTCAAGGTGTGACTGCCTCCATGGTCTAGTGGTAGAGCGGAAGGTCCGGCGTTTGATCCTTGGCCGCGTCATACCAAAAACATTTAAATACTAGAGGTGTAACGATACGGGAGAGTCGCGATACGATATGTATCCCGATACAGGGGTCGCGATACGATACGTATCACGATACAGTGTTTACTGGTACAAGCTAAGCCAAGTTGATGTCTTTCTGCTATCTAAAAGATGTGACAAGTACAGTTGAAGAAGATATAAGGTGTTTATTTACTGTTATAGCAAATTGTCAGCAATACAGAATGTTTTACTGAAACAACAAACTGGCTTTGAAACTGTTAAACGCGACCACCCCCATCCCTTTTTTTTTTATTTCGAAAAAAATCTTTATTTCTGTATAAATTACCACCAAATACAATAAATAGATCTTAATTGTGCACCCCCCCCCCTTTTCAAAAAAGCTGTATCCGCCCATGTATTTCATGTATTTTCTTAAGTATAGTGCGCACCAATGTATAATGCGCACGCCCCTCTAGCGGGTTCAATATTTTGAAAATTTTTTTTTTGAATATTATGCGCAGAAAATTTTTACACCGTACCCCTACAGCGAAGTCCGCCAAACGAACGGGTGATGAGAAACTTCGTCAGTACAAATTCGAAATTTGAGATAAAAAATCACCAAACATGTTGATTTACCGTTTAAATTGTATTTTTTGTTCAGCTAGGCATTGTTTTATATCCAGGGATTAAGATTACCTTGTGTATTTTCTCGTAAACTAAGCCGGACACAGCAATCAGCTGTACATGTACACATGTTTTCTTGGAATCTACCGGTGATTCGGTAAAGACACACCCAATGATATAACTTCACAGTATTCTAATGCAAGGATCGGCAAAAGTTGTATCTGAAACTATTTTTTATCAGGAATAATATATTCCAATACATTGTTAATTTAGATGCAGCTTTTACTAAACATATTTAAAATAATAATAACCCTAAGCGAAGCAGCTGATCGCTATTGCCGGGTATTATTTTTTACATGGAACCAGTCTGACCAGTCACCGTCAAGGCCCCGGTGCAAGTGATCGCGAGAATTACGTGTTGACATAGAATCGTCAAACAAAACAAATGTGACTTTTAACGAATCAAAGTATGGCATTTATGATATATGTATCCATTCTCTGTCAACTAGATTCCTTTCAAGGCGTCAATAGCGGTAATCTGACCGTGGTTTCTGTTAATAACGGTGAGTTGTGCGATCTTCCGATCGCTTCACACACGATTTCGCCGAAATTAATTAAAACAATATTAAAAGGAATTTTGAATAAAATTAATGAAATAAGTTACAAACATGAGTCCAGATATACAAAGAACACTTTTTTTTATAGCCAGTGTAAGTACATGAATAATTTGCGAACTTCAGTATGGATTTGTTGACATGGTATTTCTGGTGTTACGTGCTCACGGTAATGTCTTTCCATGGGGGAAAAACATAAAAACTCATTAATTCGTGTATAATGCGCAACCCCTTCTACACAGCTGTGTTTTTTGGAAAAAAAAGTGCGCACTATACTCAAGAAAATACGGTAGGTAAAACTGTGTTATGAAAATATCGTATGTATCGCGATACATGCTTTCCAAATCAATGCATCGTATCGTGGGCTGTGCATCGGGATACAATACTGTATCGCCGTATCGTTACACCACTATTAAATACAGTACTTGTTGTTACCCTGTCTAGCACTCGTCATAAACAAGGACTGGTCGTGGGGTATTCCTGTTCAATTAAGGCATGGTATCTCAGTAGGCTAGCATCATAAATCGGCATCAGTCCGGACTGGTATAAGCAGCCACACTTACACACACACACGTGCATGCACGTCGCTACATAAGTACAATAATCTTGGACGTGACGTTAAACCCCATTTCACCTCACACCTCACATATTCAAGGCACAAACAGTTCAGTTACATAATCATAAACAGCTGAAGTACACGTTCAATGCACCATTAACAAAAACTTGCTCATTGACATTCATGTACTTGCTCTACATGACCGCAGCCTGTAAAGTCTGACCCACATAATCCAGTGATTGATGTCAACTTATCCTTAATAGGAGACACCCCGTCCACTCATGACACCCCATCCACACAGACACAAGAAGACACCCCGTCCACACAGGCACAAAGAGACACCCTGTCCATACAGACACAAAGAGACACCCCGTCCACACAGGCACAAAGAGACACCCTGTCCACACAGACACAAAGAGACACCCTGTCAACACAGACACAAAGAGACACCCCATCCACACAGACACAAAGAGACACCCTGTCCACACAGACACAAAGAGACATCCCGTCCACACAGACACAAAGAGACACCCCGTCCACACAGGCACAAAGAGACACCCTGTCCACACAGACACAAAGAGACACCCTGTCCACACAGACACAAAGAGACACCCTGTCCACACAGACACAAAGAGACACCCTGTCCACACAGGCACAAAGAGACATCCCGTCCACACAGACACAAAGAGACACCCTGTCCACACAGACACAAAGAGACACCCCGTCCACACAGACACAAAGAGACACCCTGTCCACACAGACACAAAGAGACATCCCATCCACACAGGCACAAAGAGACACCCCGTCCACACAGGCGCAAAGAGACACCCCGTCCACACAGGCACAAAGAGACATCCCGTCCACACAGACACAAAGAGACATCCTGTCCACACAGACACAAAGAGACACCCTGTCAACACAGGCAAAAACAGACACCCCGTCCACACAGGCACAAAGAGACACCCCGTCCACACAGACACAAAGAGACACCCTGTCCACACAGACACAAAGAGACACCCTGTCCACACAGACACAAAGAGACACCCCGTCCACACAGGCACAAAGAGACATCCCATCCACACAGACACAAAGAGACACCCCGTCCACACAGACACAAAGAGACACAAAGAGACACCCCGTCCACACAGGCACAAAGAGACATTCCGTCCACACAGACACAAAGAGACACCCTGTCCACACAGACACAAAGAGACACCCCGTCCACACAGGCACAAAGAGACACCCCATCCACACAGGCACAAAGAGACATACTGTCCACACAGACACAAAGAGACACCCTGTCCACACAGACACAAAGAGACACCCTGTCCACACAGACACAAAGAGACACCCTGTCCATACAGACACACCCCGTCCACACAGACACAAAGAGACATCCCGTCCACACAGACACAAAGAGACACCCTGTCCACACAGGCACAAAGAGACACCCTGTCCACACAGGCACAAAGAGACACCCTGTCCACACAGACACCCCGTCGACACAGACACAAAGAGACACCCTGTCCACACAGGCACAAAGAGACATCCCGTCCACACAGACACAAAGAGACACCCTGTCCACACAGACACAAAGAGACACCCTGTCCACACAGGCACAAAGAGACATCCCGTCCACACAGACACAAAGAGACACCCCGTCCACACAGACACAAAGAGACACCCCGTCCACACAGACACAAAGAGACACCCTGTCCACACAGACACAAAGAGACATCCCGTCCACACAGGCACAAAGAGACACCCCGTCCACACAGGCGCAAAGAGACACCCCGTCCACACAGGCACAAAGAGACATCCCGTCCACACAGACACAAAGAGACATCCTGTCCACACAGACACAAAGAGACACCCTGTCCACACAGGCAAAAACAGACACCCCGTCCACACAGGCACAAAGAGACACCCCGTCCACACAGACACAAACAGACACCCTGTCCACAGAGACACAAAGAGACACCCTGTCCACACAGACACAAAGAGACACCCCGTCCACACAGGCACAAAGAGACATCCCGTCCACACAGACACAAAGAGACACCCCGTCCACACAGACACAAAGAGACACAAAGAGACACCCCGTCCACACAGGCACAAAGAGACATTCCGTCCACACAGACACAAAGAGACACCCTGTCCACACAGACACAAAGAGACACCCCGTCCACACAGGCACAAAGAGACACCCCATCCACACAGGCACAAAGAGACATCCTGTCCACACAGACACAAAGAGACACCCTGTCCACACAGACACAAAGAGACACCCCATCCACACAGACACAAAGAGACACCCTGTCCATACAGACACACCCCGTCCACACAGACACAAAGAGACACCCTGTCCACACAGACACAAAGAGACACCCCGTCCACACAGGCACAAAGAGTCACCCCGTCCACACAGGCACAAAGAGACATCCTGTCCACACAGACACAAAGAGACACCCTGTCCACACAGACACAAAGAGACACCCCATCCACACAGACACAAAGAGACACCCTGTCCATACAGACACACCCCGTCCACACAGACACAAAGAGACATCCCGTCCACACAGACACAAAGAGACACCCTGTCCACACAGGCACAAAGAGACACCCTGTCCACACAGACACCCCGTCCACACAGACACAAAGATACATCCCGTCCACACAGACACAAAGAGACACCCTGTCCACACAGACACAAAGAGACACCCCGTCCACACAGGCACAAAGAGACACCCCATCCACACAGGCACAAAGAGACATCCCGTCCACACAGACACAAACAGACATCCCGTCCACACAGACACAAGAAAACACCCTGTCCACACAGACACAAGAAGACACCCTGTCCATACAGATACACCCCGTCCACACAGACACAAAGGGACACCCTGTCCACACAGACACAAATAGACACCCCATCCACACAGACACAAAGAGACACCCTGTCCATACAGACACACCCCGTCCACACAGACACAAAGAGACATCCCGTCCACACAGACACAAAGAGACACCCTGTCCACACAGGCACAAAGAGACACCCTGTCCACACAGACACCCCGTCCACACAGACACAAAGAGACATCCCGTCTACACAGACACAAAGAGACACCCTGTCCACACAGACACAAAGAGACACCCCGTCCACACAGGCACAAAGAGACACCCCATCCACACAGGCACAAAGAGACATCCCGTCCACACAGACACAAACAGACATCCCGTCCACACAGACACAAGAAAACACCCTGTCCACACAGACACAAGAAGACACCCTGTCCATACAGACACACCCCGTCCACACAGACACAAAGGGACACCCTGTCCACACAGACACAAAGAGACACCCTGTCCACACAGACACAAAGAGACACCCCGTCCACACAGACACAAAGAGACACCCTGTCCACACAGGCACAAAGAGACACCCTGTCCACACAGACACAAAGAGACACCCTGTCCACACAGACACAAAGAGACACCCCGTCCACACAGGCACAAAGAGACATCCCGTCCACACAGACAGAAAGAGACACCCCGTCCACACAGACACAAAGAGACACAAAGAGACACCCCGTCCACACAGACACAAAGAGACACCCCGTCCACACAGACACAAAGAGACACCCCATCCACACAGACACAAAGAGACACCCCGTCCACACAGACACACCCCGCCTACACAGACACAAAGAGACACCCTGTCCACACAGACACAAAGAGACACCCCGTCCACACAGACACAAAGAGACACCCTGTCCACACAGACACAAAGAGACACCCCGTCCACACAGGCACAAAGAGACACCCCATCCACACAGGCACAAAGAGACATCCCGTCCACACAGACACAAACAGACATCCCGTCCACACAGACACAAGAAAACACCCTGTCCACACAGACACAAGAAGACACCCTGTCCATACAGACACACCCCGTCCACACAGACACAAAGGGACACCCTGTCCACACAGACACAAAGAGACACCCTGTCTACACAGACACAAAGAGACACCCCGTCCACACAGACACAAAGAGACACCCTGTCCACACAGGCACAAAGAGACACCCCGTCCACACAGACACAAAGAGACACCCCATCCACACAGACAAAGGGACACCCTGTCCACACAGGCACAAAGAGACACCCCGTCCACACAGACACAAAGAGACACCCCGTCCACACAGACACAAAGAGACACCCTGTCCACACAGACACAAAGAGACACCCCGTCCACACAGACACACCCCGTCCACACAGGCACAAAGAGACAACCCGTCCACACAGACACAAAGAGACACCCCGTCCACACAGGCACAAAGAGACACCCCGTCCACACAGGCACAAAGAGACACCCCGTCCACACAGACACAAAGAGACATCCTGTCCACACAGGCACAAAGAGACACTCGTCCACACAGGCACAAAGAGACATCCCGTCCACACAGGCACAAAGAGACACCCTGTCCACAGAGACACAAAGAGACACCCTGTCCACAAAGAGACACCCCGTCCACACAGGCACAAAGAGACACCCTGTCCACACAGGCACAAAGAGACACCCCGTCCACACAGACACAAAGAGACACCCCGTCCACACAGACACAAAGAGACACCCCGTCCACACAGACACAAGAAGACACCCTGTCCACACAGGCACAAAGAGACACCCTGTCCACACAGACACAAACAGACACCCTGTCCACACAGACACAAAGAGACACCCTGTCCACACAGACACAAAGAGACACCCCGTCCACACAGACAAAAGAAGACACCCCGTCCACACAGACACAAAGAGACACCCTGTCCACACAGACACAAGAAGATACCCTGTCCACACAGACACAAGAAGACACCCTGTCCACACAGGCACAAAGAGACACCCTGTCCACACAGACACAAACAGACACCCTGTCCACACAGACACAAAGAGACACCCCGTCCACACAGACACAAAGAGACACCCCGTCCACACAGACACAAAGAGACACCCCGTCCACACAGACACAAGAAGACACCCTGTCCACACAGGCACAAAGAGACACCCTGTCCACACAGACACAAACAGACACCCTGTCCACACAGACACAAAGAGACACCCTGTCCACACAGACACAAAGAGACACCCCGTCCACACAGACAAAAGAAGACACCCCGTCCACACAGACACAAAGAGACACCCCATCCACACAGACACAAGAAGATACCCTGTCCACACAGACACAAGAAGACACCCTGTCCACACAGGCACAAAGAGACACCCTGTCCACACAGACACAAACAGACACCCTGTCCACACAGACACAAAGAGACACCCCGTCCACACAGACACAAAGAGACACCCCGTCCACACAGACAAAAGAAGACACCCCGTCCACACAGACACAAAGAGACACCCTGTCCACACAGACACAAAGAGACACCCCATCCACACAGACACAAAGAGACACCCTGTCCACATAGACACAAGAAGACACCCTGTCCACACAGACACAAGAAGATACCCCCCACCCACATAGACACAAGAAGTCAATATGTTCACATAGACACAAGACACCCCATCCACATAGACACAAGAAGACACCCTGTCCACACAGACACAAGAAGATACCCCCCACCCACATAGACACAAGAAGTCAATATGTTCACATAGACACAAGAAGACACCCTGTCTACACAGACACAAGAAGACAATATGTTCACAGAGACACAAGAAGACACCCTGTCCACACAGACACAAGAAGACACCCTGTCCACACAGACACACCCTGTCCACACAGACACAAGAAGATACCCCCCGTCCACACAGACACAAGAAGACAATATGTCCCTGCAGTCCTACCTATTGTTGTCCTTATTCAGGAAGGACGCCAGTTCCTTCTTCTCCAGCTTCCGGCGGGCCAAAGCTCGTATCCGGCTGCGCGGGAGGGGCGAGGACGTTGGTGGGATGTGGTGGGACTTCTTGATCCTCTCGTCCGTATCCTTCGACTCATGTTTCTAAAGCAAACAATATCAAGGCTGGCTACACAAGTAAGATGATGTCATGTCTTCCATTGCTTGTGTCAAGAGTGTGATGACGTACAGCATCATCTGTCGTACTCGTGACACTTAACCATGAGACTTATCATAACAAGCATGAAATACTCATATCCCCCCCCAATATGACATGTCCTGTCATGTGCAAGGCAAGAAATATTTATGGTTTTCAAGATCTGCCCTGGAAAGGAGCACTACTGCCATTTTCAGTTTAAGTCAAAGTCGTTGCCATGGGAACTCGTAAATAATTTATTTTAAATCCCAAAATATCAAAAGGCTCCAGTTTACCACTAGACCTATCTATGTGCCACATTTGGTTGAAATATCTCTCTTGGTTTTTGAGTTCTGCTCTGGAAACAAAACGTGACGGATAGACAGACTGACGGAAGGGCAGCACCCTTTTCTATATCACCCTTCGTGTGTACGTGACATACCTTCGAGTGTACGTGACATACCTTCGTGTGTACGTGACATACCTTCGTGTACATGACATACCTTCGTGTGTACTTGACCTACCTTCGTGTGTACATGACCTACCTTCGTGTGTACATGACCTACCTTCGTGTGTACGTGACCTACCTTCATGTGTACATGACATACCTTCGTGTACATAACATACCTTCGTGTACATGACATACCTCCGTGTGTACATAACATACCTTCGTGTACATGACATACCTTCGTGTACATGACATACCTTCGTGTGTACATGACCTACCTTCGTGTACATGACATACCTTCGTGTACATAACATACCTTCGTGTACATAACATACCTTCGTGTACATGACATACCTTCGTGTACATGACATACCTTCGTGTGTACATAACATACCTTCGTGTACATGACATACCTCCGTGTGTACATAACATACCTTCGTGTACATGACATACCTCCGTGTGTACATAACATACCTTCGTGTGTACATGACATACCTTCGTGTGTACTTGACATACCTTCGTGTACATGACATACCTTCGTGTACATGACATACCTTCGTGTGTACATGACATACCTCCGTGTGTACATGACATACCTCCGTGTGTACATAACATACCTTCGTGTGTACATAACATACCTTCGTGTACATGACATACCTTCGTGTACATGACATACCTTCGTGTACATGACATACCTTCGAGTGTACGTGACATACCTTCGTGTGTACGTGACATACCTTCGTGTACATGACATACCTTCGTGTGTACTTGACCTACCTTCGTGTGTACATGACCTACCTTCGTGTGTACATGACCTACCTTCGTGTGTACGTGACCTACCTTCATGTGTACATGACATACCTTCGTGTACATAACATACCTTCGTGTACATGACATACCTCCGTGTGTACATAACATACCTTCGTGTACATGACATACCTTCGTGTACATGACATACCTTCGTGTGTACATGACCTACCTTCGTGTACATGACATACCTTCGTGTACATAACATACCTTCGTGTACATAACATACCTTCGTGTACATGACATACCTTCGTGTACATGACATACCTTCGTGTGTACATGACATACCTTCGTGTGTACTTGACCTACCTTCGTGTGTACTTGACATACCTTCGTGTGTACATGACATACCTCCGTGTGTACTTGACCTACCTCCGTGTGTACATGACCTACCTTCATGTGTACATGACATACCTTCGTGTACATGACATACCTTCGTGTGTACTTGACCTACCTCCGTGTGTACGTGACATACCTCCGTGTGTACATGACATACCTCCGTGTGTACATGACATACCTTCGTGTGTACGTGACATACCTTCGTGTGTACGTGACATACCTTCGTGTGTACGTGACATACCTTCGTGTGTACGTGACATACCTTCGTGTGTACGTGACATACCTTCGTGTGTACGTGACATACCTTCGTGTGTACGTGACCTACCTTCGTGTGTACATGACCTACCTTCGTGTGTACGTGACCTACCTCCGTGTGTACGTGACCTACCTCCGTGTGTACGTGACCTACCTTCGTGTGTACATGACCTACCTTCGTGTGTACGTGACCTACCTCCGTGTGTACGTGACCTACCTCCGTGTGTACGTGACATACCTTCGTGTGTACATGACATACCTTCGTGTGTACTTGACCTACCTTCGTGTGTACATGACCTACCTTCGTGTGTACATGACATACCTTTGCATGTACGTGACATACCTTCGAGTGTACGTGACCTACCTTCGTGTGTACATGACATACCTTCGCATGTACGTGACATACCTTCGAGTGTACGTGACATACCTTCGTGTACATAACATACCTTCGTGTGTACGTGACCTACCTTCGTGTGTACATAACATACCTTCGTGTGTACATGACATACCTTCGTGTGTACATGACATACCTTCGTGTGTACGTGACCTACCTTCGTATGTACGTGACCTACCTTCGTGTACATGACATACCTTCGTGTGTACGTGACATACCTTCGTGTGTACGTGACCTACCTTCGTGTACATGACATACCTTCGTGTACATGACATACCTTCGTGTGTACGTGACCTACCTTCGCGTGTACGTGACATACCTTCGTGTGTACATGACCTACCTTCGTGTGTACTTGACATACCTTCGTGTACATGACATACCTTCGTGTGTACATGACATACCTTCGTGTGTACGTGACATACCTTCGTGTGTACGTGACATACCTTCGTGTGTACATGACCTACCTTCGTGTACATGACATACCTTCGTGTGTACATGACATACCTTCGTGTACATGACATACCTTCGTGTGTACATGACCTACCTTCGTGTGTACATGACATACCTTCGTGTACATGACATACCTTCGTGTGTACGTGACATACCTTCGTGTGTACATGACATACCTTCGTGTGTACATGACATACCTTCGTGTACATGACATACCTTCGTGTGTACATGACCTACCTTCGTGTGTACATGACATACCTTCGTGTACATGACATACCTTCGTGTGTACGTGACCTACCTTCGCGTGTACGTGACATACCTTCGTGTGTACGTGACATACCTTCGTGTACATGACATACCTTCGTGTGTACGTGACCTACCTTCGTGTGTACATGACATACCTTCGTGTACATGACATACCTTCGTGTGTACGTGACCTACCTTCGCGTGTACGTGACATACCTTCGTGTGTACATGACCTACCTTCGTGTGTACATGACATACCTTCGTGTACATGACATACCTTCGTGTGTACATGACATACCTTCGTGTGTACATGACATACCTTCGTGTGTACATGACCTACCTTCGTGTGTACATGACATACCTTTGTGTGTACATGACATACCTTCGTGTGTACATGACATACCTTTGTGTGTACGTGACATACCTTCGTGTGTACATGACATACCTTCGTGTGTACATGACATACCTTTGTGTGTACGTGACCTACCTTCGTGTGTACATAACATACCTTCGTGTGTACATAACATACCTTCGTGTGTACGTGACATACCTTCGTGTGTACGTGACATACCTTCATGTGTACGTGACCTACCTTCGTGTGTACATAACATACCTTCGTGTGTACATGACATACCTTCGTGTGTACGTGACATACCTTCGTGTGTACATGACATACCTTCGTGTACATAACATACCTTCGCGTGTACGTGACATACCTTCGTGTGTACGTGACATACCTTTGTGTGTACGTGACATACCTTCGTGTACATGACATACCTTCGTGTGTACATAACATACCTTCGTGTGTACATGACATACCTTCGTGTGTACGTGACATACCTTCGTGTGTACATGACCTACCTTCGTGTGTACATAACATACCTTCGTGTGTACATAACATACCTTCGTGTGTACATGACATACCTTCATGTGTACGTGACCTACCTTCGTGTGTACATGACATACCTTCGTGTGTACATGACCTACCTTCGTGTGTACGTGACATACCTTCGTGTGTACATGACATACCTTCGTGTGTACGTGACATACCTTCGTGTGTACATGACATACCTTCGTGTGTACGTGACATACCTTCGCGTGTACGTGACATACCTTCGTGTGTACATAACATACCTTCGTGTGTACATGACATACCTTCGTGTGTACATGACATACCTTCGTGTGTACATGACATACCTTCGTGTGTACATGACCTACCTTCGTGTGTACATGACATACCTTCGCGTGTACGTGACATACCTTCGTGTGTACGTGACATACCTTCGTGTATACGTGACCTACCTTCATGTGTACATGACATACCTTCGTGTGTACGTGACCTACCTTCGTGTGTACGTGACATACCTTCGTGTGTACGTGACATACCTTCGTGTGTACATGACCTACCTTCGTGTATACGTGACCTACCTTCATGTGTACATAACATACCTTCGTGTGTACGTGACATACCTTCGTGTGTACGTGACATACCTTCGTGTGTACATCACATACCTTCGTGTGTACATAACATACCTTCGTGTGTACGTGACATACCTTCGTGTGTACGTGACATACCTTCGTGTGTACATGACCTACCTTCGTGTATACGTGACCTACCTTCATGTGTACATAACATACCTTCGTGTGTACGTGACATACCTTCGTGTGTACGTGACATACCTTCGTGTGTACATAACATACCTTCGTGTGTACATAACATACCTTCGTGTGTACATGACATACCTTCGTGTGTACATGACATACCTTCGTGTGTACATGACATACCTTCGTGTATACGTGACCTACCTTCATGTGTACATAACATACCTTCGTGTGTACGTGACATACCTTCGTGTGTACGTGACATACCTTCGTGTGTACATAACATACCTTCGTGTGTACATAACATACCTTCGTGTGTACATGACATACCTTCGTGTGTACATGACATACCTTCGTGTGTACGTGACCTACCTTCGTGTGTACATAACATACCTTCGTGTGTACATAACATACCTTCGTGTGTACATGACATACCTTCGTGTGTACATGACATACCTTCGTATGTACGTGACATACCTTCGCGTGTACGTGACATACCTTCGTGTGTACGTGACATACCTTCGTGTGTACATGACATACCTTCGTGTGTACGTGACCTACCTTCGTGTGTACATAACATACCTTCGTGTGTACATGACATACCTTCGCGTGTACATGACATACCTTCGCGTGTACATGACATACCTTCGTGTACATAACATACCTTCGCGTGTACGTGACATACCTTCGTGTGTACGTGACATACCTTCGTGTGTACATGACATACCTTCGTGTGTACGTGACCTACCTTCGTGTGTACATAACATACCTTCGTGTGTACGTGACATACCTTCGTGTGTACATAACATACCTTCGTGTGTACGTGACATACCTTCGTGTGTACATGACATACCTTCGTGTGTACGTGACCTACCTTCGTGTGTACATAACATACCTTCGTGTGTACATAACATACCTTCGTGTGTACGTGACATACCTTCGTGTGTACATAACATACCTTCGTGTGTACGTGACATACCTTCGTGTGTACATAACATACCTTCGCGTGTACGTGACATACCTTCGTGTGTACATGACATACCTTCGTGTACATAACATACCTTCGCGTGTACGTGACATACCTTCGTGTGTACATGACATACCTTCGTGTGTACATAACATACCTTCGTGTGTACATAACATACCTTCGCGTGTACGTGACATACCTTCGTGTACGTGACATACCTTCGTGTGTACATGACATACCTTCGTGTACATAACATACCTTCGCGTGTACGTGACATACCTTCGTGTGTACATGACATACCTTCGTGTGTACATAACATACCTTCGTGTGTACATAACATACCTTCGCGTGTACGTGACATACCTTCGTGTACGTGACATACCTTCGTGTGTACGTGACATACCTTCGTGTGTACGTGACATACCTTCGTGTGTACATGACATACCTTCGTGTGTACGTGACATACCTTCGTGTGTACATGACATACCTTCGTGTGTACATGACATACCTTCGTGTGTACATGACATACCTTCGTGTGTACATAACATACCTTCGTGTGTACGTGACATACCTTCGTGTACATAACATACCTTCGTGTGTACGTGACATACCTTCGTGTGTACATGACATACCTTCGTGTGTACGTGACATACCTTCGTGTGTACATGACATACCTTCGTGTGTACATGACATACCTTCGTGTGTACGTGACCTACCTTCGTGTGTACATAACATACCTTCGTGTGTACGTGACATACCTTCGTGTGTACATAACATACCTTCGTGTGTACGTGACATACCTTCGTGTGTACATGACATACCTTCGTGTGTACGTGACCTACCTTCGTGTGTACATAACATACCTTCGTGTGTACATAACATACCTTCGTGTGTACGTGACATACCTTCGTGTGTACATAACATACCTTCGTGTGTACGTGACATACCTTCGTGTGTACATAACATACCTTCGCGTGTACGTGACATACCTTCGTGTGTACATAACATACCTTCGTGTGTACATAACATACCTTCGCGTGTACGTGACATACCTTCGTGTACGTGACATACCTTCGTGTGTACGTGACATACCTTCGTGTGTACGTGACATACCTTCGTGTGTACATGACATACCTTCGTGTGTACGTGACATACCTTCGTGTGTACATGACATACCTTCGTGTGTACATGACATACCTTCGTGTGTACATGACATACCTTCGTGTGTACATAACATACCTTCGTGTGTACATAACATACCTTCGCGTGTACGTGACATACCTTCGTGTGTACGTGACATACCTTCGTGTGTACGTGACATACCTTCGCGTGTACGTGACATACCTTCGTGTGTACGTGACATACCTTCGTGTGTACATAACATACCTTCGTGTGTACATGACCTACCTTCGTGTGTACATAACATACCTTCGTGTGTACATAACATACCTTCGTGTGTACGTGACATACCTTCGTGTGTACATGACATACCTTCGCGTGTACGTGACATACCTTCGTGTGTACATGACATACCTTCGTGTACATAACATACCTTCGTGTGTACGTGACATACCTTCGTGTGTACATGACATACCTTCGCGTGTACGTGACATACCTTCGTGTGTACATGACATACCTTCGTGTGTACATAACATACCTTCGTGTGTACGTGACATACCTTCGTGTGTACATGACATACCTTCGCGTGTACGTGACATACCTTCGTGTGTACATGACATACCTTCGTGTACATAACATACCTTCGCGTGTACGTGACATACCTTCGTGTGTACATGACATACCTTCGTGTGTACGTGACATACCTTCGTGTGTACGTGACATACCTTCGTGTACATAACATACCTTCGTGTGTACATGACATACCTTCGTGTGTACGTGACATACCTTCGTGTGTACGTGACATACCTTCGTGTACATAACATACCTTCGTGTGTACATGACATACCTTCGTGTGTACGTGACATACCTTCGTGTGTACGTGACATACCTTCGTGTGTACATAACATACCTTCGTGTGTACGTGACATACCTTCGTGTGTACATAACATACCTTCGTGTGTACATAACATACCTTCGTGTGTACATAACATACCTTCGCGTGTACATGACATACCTTCGTGTGTACATGACCTACCTTCGTGTGTACGTGACATACCTTCGTGTGTACATGACATACCTTCGTGTGTACGTGACATACCTTCGTGTGTACATGACATACCTTCGTGTGTACGTGACATACCTTCGTGTGTACATAACATACCTTCGTGTGTACGTGACATACCTTCGTGTGTACATGACATACCTTCGCGTGTACGTGACATACCTTCGTGTGTACATGACATACCTTCGTGTGTACGTGACATACCTTCGTGTGTACGTGACATACCTTCGTGTGTACATGACATACCTTCGCGTGTACGTGACATACCTTCGTGTGTACATGACATACCTTCGTGTACATAACATACCTTCGCGTGTACGTGACATACCTTCGTGTGTACATGACATACCTTCGTGTGTACATGACCTACCTTCGCGTGTACATGACATACCTTCGTGTGTACGTGACATACCTTCGTGTGTACATGACATACCTTCGCGTGTACGTGACATACCTTCGTGTACATAACATACCTTCGCGTGTACGTGACATACCTTCGTGTGTACGTGACATACCTTCGTGTGTACATGACATACCTTCGTGTGTACATGACATACCTTCGTGTACATAACATACCTTCGCGTGTACGTGACATACCTTCGTGTGTACGTGACATACCTTCGTGTGTACATGACATACCTTCGTGTACATAACATACCTTCGCGTGTACGTGACATACCTTCGTGTGTACGTGACCTACCTTCGTGTGTACGTGACCTACCTTCGTGTGTACGTGACCTACCTTCGTGTGTACGTGACATACCTTCGTGTGTACGTGACATACCTTCGTGTGTACGTGACATACCTTCGTGTACGTGACATACCTTCGTGTGTACATGACATACCTTCGTGTGTACATGACATACCTTCGTGTGTACATAACATACCTTCGCGTGTACGTGACATACCTTCGTGTGTACGTGACATACCTTCGTGTGTACGTGACATACCTTCGCGTGTACGTGACATACCTTCGTGTGTACGTGACATACCTTCGTGTGTACGTGACATACCTTCGTGTGTACATAACATACCTTCGTGTGTACATGACATACCTTCGTGTGTACGTGACCTACCTTCGTGTGTACATAACATACCTTCGTGTGTACGTGACATACCTTCGTGTGTACATAACATACCTTCGTGTGTACGTGACATACCTTCGTGTGTACATGACATACCTTCGTGTGTACATGACATACCTTCGTGTACATAACATACCTTCGTGTGTACATAACATACCTTCGTGTGTACATAACATACCTTCGTGTGTACGTGACATACCTTCGTGTGTACGTGACATACCTTCGTGTGTACATAACATACCTTCGTGTGTACATAACATACCTTCGTGTGTACGTGACATACCTTCGTGTGTACGTGACATACCTTCGTGTGTACATGACATACCTTCGTGTACATAACATACCTTCGCGTGTACGTGACATACCTTCGTGTGTACATGACATACCTTCGTGTGTACGTGACATACCTTCGTGTGTACGTGACATACCTTCGTGTGTACATGACCTACCTTCGTGTGTACATGACATACCTTCGTGTGTACGTGACATACCTTCGTGTGTACGTGACATACCTTCGTGTGTACATGACATACCTTCGTGTGTACATAACATACCTTCGTGTGTACATGACATACCTTCGTGTGTACATGACATACCTTCGTGTGTACATAACATACCTTCGTGTGTACATAACATACCTTCGCGTGTACGTGACATACCTTCGTGTGTACGTGACATACCTTCGTGTGTACGTGACATACCTTCGCGTGTACATGACCTACCTTCGTGTGTACGTGACATACCTTCGTGTGTACGTGACATACCTTCGTGTGTACGTGACATACCTTCGCGTGTACGTGACATACCTTCGCGTGTACGTGACATACCTTCGTGTGTACGTGACATACCTTCGTGTGTACATAACATACCTTCGTGTGTACATAACATACCTTCGCGTGTACATGACAGACAATGTCATGGAGTGGCAGAAATATCCCATGATCCTTCCGACAATAAAAATATCGCTTCCCGTCTAAAAAGCCATCATGCCTTCCAACTGTAAACAGCAATACAAATTGTTGTACAAACATGTCATGTTTACATCAAAACAAATATTCGCTAGTTACAAATTTTGCCAAATAAAGTGAATCAGTTGGCTCTGCTGTCTATTCCTCTGATGATAGAACATGTCTTCTAACAGCAGGTATTCCCATACTGGACTGAATTGAAGAATTTGGGGGTATCAGTGTAAGGCTTATAAAATAAAATAAAGGCAATGACTTTTGAAAATATAGTGCGGGTGGGCAGTGTTTTTGTTTTTTTATACTTGTTCAAACTAGTATGTAACCAAATAACCATAAACCTGGGAAAGCACCTCCCTACATAAACAAGCACACAAACTCCTACTGCCGCCATGACCATAACACGAGATGTGCAGTAAAGCAGTGTGCAAGTAAAGGGAAGTAACTGTGTGCATGACTGGATCACATTGTTAAGTATTATGTCTTTTTTATTTTTTTGAAAATGGAAATAAAAATGAAACGTGTGGCGGACTTTATGATGATGCGGGTGTCGTCTGAGAACCAAGACATTATTGGTTTTAGCCTAATCAAGGTATTCTCAGAGCACATCTTCGTCAGCTCTTAGTGGGGACCTTGCCGACCCTGGGATCATGGGTTGTGAGGATTGACACAGGGAGGAGACTCACCAGGAGCATCAAGCTCCAAGCCCACAAATATCATGTTGGGTTGTCCGATTTTGTCCAAATGTCCCACATAGCGGATGTGTCCTGTTCTGTCCCCCTTGATGACCACATGGTCGTCCAGCTGCACCTGGACACGCCCACTGCAACACCAGAGTGGTTACCATGGTTACATCAGTCTCTACAGACACACTGAGGAAGAAAAAACTAATTACGTATTTTTCCAAATCCCAAATCATCAAAAGTTCAGCACTAGACTGATCTGCATAGCAAGTTTCATTTAGAAACATTCAACAGTTTTGGAATTCTGCTCTAAAACAAGCACTTCTCTCGTTTTCAGTAAAGTCTAACTTGCCATAAAACCAAAACAAAATTAAGAAAACATAAGTCACAAATTATCAAAAGGCATCAGTTCACAACTAGACTGATCTGTACAGCAAGTTTCATCAAGAAATATTCAACGGTTTAGGCGTTCTGATCAGGAAATGGAAACAGATGGACGGATGGACAATCATTACAATGAGGGATAACAATCACTACAATGTTTCCTTCCAACATTTCAAAGCCTTGCAACTTTAACATTTTACACATCGTGATGCAGCTGATCATAGGAAGGTAGATAACTCTGTGGTTACTCACCAGAAATAGGTTGTGTACAATTTGCTATCCACAGATTTATCCAGTATCTTTTAGGTATGTTTACTTGACAAATGGGATTGGTGGGCAAACTTTCAGAGCACATGATCAAATTTCAAGGCAGAATCTAAATTCAAGCACTTCCAAATTCAAGACAGACAGCCAAATTTGAGGCCTGTCTATGATGAGGAACTAAGTAAGTGTTACAGATCTGACAAAACTCTGACAAAACAAAAAAGACAGAAAGACATAATTTGACATTTTGACAGGAAGAGCTTAATCTGAGGATGAGTGAGCATATCTTGGCAAGTCAGCTTTATAAATGACAAAGCAAAGTCCAAGAAGTGAGTGTGAGTGAATGAGTATGGTTTTACGCCGCTTTTAGCAATATTCCAGCAATATCACGGAGGGGGACACCAGAAATGGGCTTCACACATCATACCCATGTCGGGAATCGAACCCGGGTCTTCGGCGTGACGAGCGAACGCTTTAACCACTAGGCTACCCGACTGCCCCAAAGTCCAAGAAGACAGGTCACGGACACTTATCAATTCCACACCACCCACATGCAGGAGTATTGTGCTGACCAATGTGGGTTTCGAACCAACAATCAGCTGATCATTGTACAACACTGAACAAAGAACTGGGGCATCTGACACGATTGTGACATCTGTGTATAGAGTGCATGGAGCATGTCTAGATGGACATGATCGGCTATTTCCGGTGAAAATAGGCCTCTGAGCCGACTCGTGGCCATTGAAAGCGGAGACAATATTTGACTACATGACCGTCACATGATGTAAACATCCTAGCATCCAGACAAGTCATCAATGGCTTGTCAGAGGTCAAGAACTGCATCTTATGTGGCCATTTGCATAAGTTATGTAACTCATCTTACGTTTATTATAGTGTTTTAGTTATTTACACCAATCAGTGTACCCTGTCAGACCTGGTCTGGTCCCTGAGCAATTTATATCTGTGTACATCAACAGTTGGAACTATATTTTCAAAACGTTGTTGTATACAAGTATCCTTGGAATATACTTAGTATCAGTTCTTCAAAATAAGTTGCTAGGTATATATAACACTAAGAAAAAATAAACATGTTAACGTTAACACAAGTCTTTGTTGCGATTACAGAAAGTGACGGAAGGAGGCAGGGTTGTTTGAAAGTGAAAGGGAACAGTCAGAAGTCTACGTAGAGATGGCCAAGGTGAAGGTGACGGATATAAGCATGTTTTCACCTGATGGGGAACTTCTGCAAGTGCTCGCTGAGGCTGTGAGACAAGGCGGTGTTGTCCTCCCCTCCCATCGCTTCCTCGCACGCCGTGCACTTGCAGCCAAACAGAGGCTCCGGGAACATCAAGCTGGTCAGTGCAATCTTCCGATGAATCCGTGGCTTACTTAGTCTGTGTGGGAATGTATGTACGTTAGTATTCAATGCTCCAGATTGTTTAACCATTGAGTATTGACTAGCGTGTAATCATTATCACTGACTATTTCAATTATTCTCCGGTATTCAATTTCATTACTCCCTTGGCCCAGCGAGTCATATGGCTGTTCTTAAAAGGCTTTGCTATTTTTCGTAAATAATTTTGCTCATAATGCTATCATGAGGCCACACTGTTCTAATTTTATGTTTCACGGATTTATTCCAGCTTTTCACACAAAGTCGGATAAAATAAAAATATAAATTGATAGCAATGTGGATAATTTATTTAGTATTTATTAATTCCAATGAAAGTCATTCTGCCGTGGATTTAAAACTGCAGCTGGCTTCTTGAATCACCGATAGTGATGTAGACATGGAGTTTATATAGGACAACTTTAATTGTATCAGAGGGTCTATATTACTAACAGGAGACATAATAAATGTAAATATTTTTATGTTTAATTCATTTCATGGACCGGATGCTTTTTCGTAGGGGCAGCGGGTCTGGGAAACGTAAAATAAAAACTGTGTGGCCTTACCTACAAATATACTGTGGTTATATAACAGGATCTAGTGTCCCGGAGATACGTTATACACCAGACAGTTAACTGTGGCTACAGCACTGCTAACCATACCTCCCATAGGGCTTAATACTGAGTGAGAGAGGTTTCGTTTAACACCACTTTGACCGTAAAAAAAATATGACAAGTAAATCAACAGTGTATAAATAGAGTCAGTTTCATTGGTCATTAGAATAGGAAGGTTATGTTGGGGACAAGTGACATTTTCAATATGTCTGCCTTAGCTGCCATGACAAAATAGCTGATCTTCTCTTCAGCTATACTCTGAAGGTACTGTTTTCATCATATATACTTCATTTTACACTTGAGATTCGTATCAGGAAGTGGGAAGTGGCATTAATCAATTTCCAGGATGACTGGGCAAAATATATAAATCTGTGTCCGCACCCATTGAGCACGTAGTTGTTGCGCTGTCCCCCGACTGTCTGCAGGACGTAGTCGGTGAACGACTTCTCCTCCAGCGAGCTGGACGACTGACTTCCCTCACCATCCTCATCCTGGACGAATGTGTTGACACACTCCCGGGCCAGATGGTTCATCTGTAACAACCCACACATCATCAACACTGTCACTGTCTTCTGTAGAAATACGGATATCTAGTTTGTGTGTCAATAGTGAGTGAGTGAGAGAGTATGGTTTTACGCCGCTTTTAGCAATATTCCAGCAATATCACGGAGGGGGACACCAGAAATGGGCTTCACACATTGTACCCATGTCAGGAATCGAACCCGGGTCTTTGGCGTGATGAGTGAACGCTTTAACCACTAGGCTACCCGACCGCCCCCAATAAATTAGACATACAGCAAGAAGTTTGTATTCAAATTCTGACCTCTAGTTCCTTTAATCTTCCTTTCAATATTTCTATCTCTTTTCGGGCAGAGCCGAGTTCTTCTGCTAATTTTGAATTGAGCTTCACTGCTGAAACAAACAAATTGCATGATAAAATTCTTCAATCTGCCTTTTCATGGAATTGGGTTGGAGTTATTTCAGGTTGAGGTAAGGTAAGGTGAGGTGAGGTGAGGTGAGGTGAGGTGAGGTGAGGTGAGGGTTTAACATCGTGTTCAAGATTGTTGCACTTATAAAGCATGTGAACATGATTAATGAAATAATATTCATAAGGGAAAATATTCCAGTGTTAGAGAGATACTGGCTGTGGAAATAATATCCTTGGCAGCCATTTCCACTGAAAACCTTTAGTAAGGATATTAGGAATGAATATCTTATAACACATGCACGTGTGTGTGAAGCCGCTCATACTAGTCCGGACTAATGCCAGTTTTATAGTGCTATCCCACTGACATACCATGCCGCATGTTAACATGAATGCCCCACTCAGACACAGTATACCGACATCAAGCCAACCAGTCCTTGGTTTAGCACCTTTATGCCTATGCCAGGCAGGGTGACAATAAGTACCATCTTTTAACCTCTTTGAGTATGACATGTCTGGGGGTCGAACCCCCGCCCCTACCATCTCCGGGCAGACACTCTACCACTAGACCACTGGCTCAGTGGAGTTATGTCAGATATATTAAGACTTTGAATATTTTTTTTAGTCTTTCAAGATGAGTCAAGTCACAATAATTTGAGATTAAAGTGCAACATCAGCAGTACTGGAGAATGTGCAGAATCAACATCACTGAAAACACATCAGCGGTGCACATGAGCTGTTAGGAGTGAAAGTGCAACATCTGTAGTCGGGGCCAAAGTGCAATATTTGTAGTCGGGGGCCAAAGTGCAATATTTGTTGTCAAGAGCCAAAGTGCCACATCTGTAGTCTGTGGTTAAAGTGCCACATCTGTAGTCGGGGCGCAAACCGCAACATTTTTAGTCAGGGATGAAGAAAAATGGATGGGAAACCATGATCAGCATATCCTGGCATGGCTAAGGGACACAACTCTGCACAGCAAATTAAAATGTGCCACCTATGGCCCTGGTCTGGTGTACAATCTTATAATGTATTCAAATAGTTATCCTGATTTCCTTACTTTCAATGAACTGTTCTTCAATGGTAGAGTCTGTGTTTTGTAGCAACGAGCACTGGGATTCTTTTGATGCCTTCGGACTGAAATAAATAAATTTTAAACATAAAACTTGCATCCCTTTCGGTTGTACATATTGAATTTGGTTGAAATCAGTCTCACACTGGCCTAGGTTGTGGACTGACATGAGACTGGGCTATATAATCTCGGACTCAGCTGGCCCCAACACCTGGCCTCTTCAGCTCCAGTCATGCAAACCACCTGTCCCACGTGAATTCCTCTATTCCGAGCGGTAAATGTAACTTGCAGAAAAATTATTTAATTTGACTTTTTTGATAAATACATTTTGACTAATTTCAAGCTTTTCTATCAAAATTTGCACTTGAATGATGCCCTAACACATAACATGTGATTCAAACATACCAAATTTGAACGAAATTTTAAATTAGTAATTCTCACTTTTAAACCTTCTTGTGGTATTGTGAGTACATAAACTATATTTATATCTAATCATAAATGCAAGAGATTAAAATTTGTAAAGAAAAATATCAATTTTTGACGTGGATATGGTTATGTTTTACAGCAAAATTTACAGCAGAATTTTGCTAATTTTACAGCAGAATTCATCCGAAAAAGGAACCCCATTTGGTTGATGTCAACTACAAGTCCTTTACATACGACTCAAACGAAGTTAAGGTTACAGCCATGACAAGGTTAACTATAGTAACACAAATAATCCAGCTGTCACGCCATGACAAGGTTAACTGTATATAGTAACACAAAAGAATCAGGTGTTAGTTAACTTCTTTTGAGTCGTATATTTACCATCAGTTAATGCCATCAGGCAACATTGTACATGACACTGTCAAACCATATTTACAGTTCCTGAGACTATCATCCAATCCTGTGACCACAACGATAGTTTCTGATTGGTTGCGCTGGAACACTGTATACTGTTGAATATCGGAGACCTTGGTTCATTAAATTAACAAACCACATCCTCATTACAATCCCCACACCAACGTAACTACCGGTACACCCTTGTGAATATCTGGGCTAGAATAGGTCTTCAGCAACACTTGCTTGTTGTAAGAGGCAACCAACAAGACCGGGTGGTCAGACTCGCTGACTTGGTTGATGCATGTCATCTTATCCCATTTGCACACATAGATGCTCATGATGTCAATCCCTGGTCCAGACTTGATTATTAACAGACTGCTAATCATATAGCTGGAGTATTGCTGATTGTGGCGTTAAACAACAACCAAAAGAGTCATCAAGAGAAGACATATCCCCTGGTCTGGTGCAATTTCGAAATTATTTCCGAGTTTAGCTATGAATACCCAACTTTTGCTTCATCGCCATTAGATACCTTCAGTTCAGTGAAGAAAAAAACTCAAGCGGTTCAGTAGTTTTCAAATTTCCCAAATCAACAAAAGGCACCAGTTCACTACTAGACTGATCTGTATCGCAAGTTACAGCCTGAAATATTCAACAGTTTTGGAGTTCTGCGCCGGAAACGAGCACTACCCTCATTTTCAGTAAAACTTGTCATCAAGAAGACATAAAAAAATAGTAATCCCAAATCATCAAAAGGCACCAAATCACCACTAGATTGATCTATATGTAGCAAGCTTCAACGGTTTTGGAGTTCTGCCCTGGAAACGGAAAATGGACAGCTGATGGGTGGACATGCTGATCACGAACTCCCCCTTTTTTTAAACCGGGGGAATAAAAAGTTAAACTAACTACAAATTCAGCTTCCACATCCTCACACCTACCTTATCTTCTTGATACCATCATCAGGCTCAGAAATGATTTCTGGAAGAGAGTTTTTCCTGTCAGAGGCAACATTGGAATCACTGGAGTCCGTGGCCACTCCCTCAGGCGGACTGTGGATCAGCGCCTGGGTCAGGATTCCGTTGACCGGGCGATGCCCGACACGTGGGGATCCTCGCCGTCGACTCTCTCGGTGCGTGGAGGGGGAGTGGAGGTGCCCCTTGAAGCTGTACGTCTGCTCCAGTTTGGGGGAGTTGCTGAGCGTGCTGGAGCACTGGCTGCACCGAGAACACGGCCGCGACCGCTCCTGGAGACAGAGACCACACACATGACACTCCTGGAGACAGAGACCACACACATGACACTCCTGGAGACACAGATCACACACATGACACTCCTGGAGACAGAGACCACACACATGACACTCCTGGAGACACAGACCACACACATGACGCTCCTGGAGACACAGACAGACCACACACATGACACTCCTGGAGACACAGATCACACACATGACACTCCTGGAGACACAGATCACACACATGATGCTCCTGGAGACACAGATCACACACATGACACTCCTGGAGACACAGACCACACACATGACACTCCTGGAGACAGAGACCACACACATGATGCTCCTGGAGACACAGACCACACACATGACACTCCTGGAGACACAGACCACACACATGATGCTCCTGGAGACACAGACCACACACATGATGCTCTTGGAGACACAGACAGACCACACACATGACGCTCCTGGAGACACAGACCACACACATGATGCTCTTGGAGACACAGACAGACCACACACATGACGCTCCTGGAGACACAGACCACACACATGATGCTCTTGGAGACACAGACAGACCACACACATGACACTCCTGGAGACACAGACCACACACATGATGCTCTTGGAGACACACACAGACCACACACATGACGCTCCTGGAGACACAGACCACACACATGATGCTCCTGGAGACACAGACCACACACATGATGCTCTTGGAGACACAGACAGACCACACACATGATGCTCTTGGAGACACAGACAGACCACACACATTACGCTCCTGGAGACACAGACCACACACATGATGCTCTTGGAGACACAGACAGACCACACACATGACGCTCCTGGAGACACAGACCACACACATGATGCTCTTGGAGACACAGACAGACCACACACATGACACTCCTGGAGACACAGACCACACACATGATGCTCTTGGAGACACAGACAGACCACACACATGGCGCTCCTGGAGACACAGACCACACACATGATGCTCTTGGAGACACAGACAGACCACACACATGACACTCCTGGAGACACAGACCACACACATGATGCTCTTGGAGACACAGACAGACCACACACATGACGCTCCTGGAGACACAGACAGACCACACACATGACACTCCTGGAGACACAGACAGACCACACACATGACGCTCCTGAAGACACAGACCACACACATGACACTCCTCGAGACACAGACCACACACATGACGCTCCTAGAGACACAGACCACACACATGACACTCCTGGAGACACAGACAGACCACACACATGACGCTCCTGGAGACAGAGACCACACACATGACACTCCTGGAGACACAGACCACACACATGACGCTCCTGGAGACACAGACAGACCACACACATGACACTCCTGGAGACACAGATCACACACATGACACTCCTGGAGACACAGATCACACACATGATGCTCCTGGAGACACAGATCACACACATGACACTCCTGGAGACACAGACCACACACATGACACTCCTGGAGACAGAGACCACACACATGATGCTCCTGGAGACACAGACCACACACATGACACTCCTGGAGACACAGACCACACACATGACACTCCTGGAGACACAGATCACACACATGACACTCCTGGAGACAGAGACCACACACATGACACTCCTGGAGACACAGATCACACACATGACACTCCTGGAGACACAGACCACATACATGACGCTCCTGGAGACACACACATGATGCTCCTGGAGACACAGACCACACACATGACACTCCTGGAGACACACACAGACCACACACATGACGCTCCTGGAGACAGAGACCACACACATGATGCTCCTGGAGACACAGACCACACACATGATGCTCTTGGAGACACAGACAGACCACACACATGATGCTCTTGGAGACACAGACAGACCACACACATGACGCTCCTGGAGACACAGACCACACACATGATGCTCTTGGAGACACAGACAGACCACACACATGACGCTCCTGGAGACACAGACCACACACATGATGCTCTTGGAGACACAGACAGACCACACACATGACACTCCTGGAGACACAGACCACACACATGATGCTCTTGGAGACACACACAGACCACACACATGACGCTCCTGGAGACAGAGACCACACACATGATGCTCCTGGAGACACAGACCACACACATGATGCTCTTGGAGACACAGACAGACCACACACATGATGCTCTTGGAGACACAGACAGACCACACACATGACGCTCCTGGAGACACAGACCACACACATGATGCTCTTGGAGACACAGACAGACCACACACATGACGCTCCTGGAGACACAGACCACACACATGATGCTCTTGGAGACACAGACAGACCACACACATGACACTCCTGGAGACACAGACCACACACATGATGCTCTTGGAGACACAGACAGACCACACACATGGCGCTCCTGGAGACACAGACCACACACATGATGCTCTTGGAGACACAGACAGACCACACACATGACACTCCTGGAGACACAGACCACACACATGATGCTCTTGGAGACACAGACAGACCACACACATGACGCTCCTGGAGACACAGACAGACCACACACATGACACTCCTGGAGACACAGACAGACCACACACATGACGCTCCTGAAGACACAGACCACACACATGACACTCCTCGAGACACAGACCACACACATGACGCTCCTGGAGACACAGACCACACACATGACACTCCTGGAGACACAGACAGACCACACACATGACGCTCCTGGAGACACAGACAGACCACACACATGACGCTCCTGGAGACACAGACCACACACATGACGCTCCTGGAGACACAGACCACACACATGACACTCCTGGAGACACAGACCACACACATGACGCTCCTGGAGACACAGACCACACACATGACACTCCTGGAGACACAGACAGACCACACACATGACGCTCCTGGAGACACAGACAGACCACACACATGACGCTCCTGGAGACACAGACCACACACATGACACTCCTGGAGACACAGACCACACACATGACACTCCTGGAGACACAGACCACACACATGACACTCCTGGAGACACAGATCACACACATGACACTCCTGGAGGCACAGACCACACACATGACACTCCTGGAGACACACACAGACCACACACATGACACTCCTGGAGGCACAGACCACACACATGACGCTCCTGGATACACAGACCACATACATGACACTCCTGGAGACACAGATCACACACATGACACTCCTGGAGACACAGACAGACCACATACATGACACTCCTGGACACACAGACCACACACATGACACTCCTGGAGACACAGACCACACACATGACACTCCTGGAGACACACACAGACCACACACATGACACTCCTGGAGACACAGACCACATACATGACACTCCTGGAGACACAGACCACACACATGACACTCCTGGAGACACAGACCACACACATGACGCTCCTGGAGACACACATAGACCACACAATGACACTCCTGGAGACACACACAGACCACAAACATGACGCTCCTGGAGACACAGACCACACACATGACGCTCCTGGAGACACAGACCACACACATGACACTCCTGGAGACAGAGACCACATACATGACACTCCTGGAGACACAGACCACACACATGACGCTCCTGGAGACACAGACCACATACATGACGCTCCTGGAGACACAGACCACACACATGACGCTCCTGGAGACACAGACCACACACATGACGCTCCTGGAGACACACACAGACCACACACATGACGCTCCTGGAGACACAGACCACACACATGACGCTCCTGGAGACACAGACCACACACATGACGCTCCTGGAGACACAGACCACATACATGATGCTCCTGGAGACACAGACCACACACATGACGCACCTGGAGACACACACAGACCACACACATGACGCTCCTGGAGACACAGACCACACACATGACGCTCCTGGAGACACACACAGACCACAAACATGATGCTCCTGGAGACACACACAGACCACACACATGATGCTCCTGGAGACACACACAGACCACACACATGACACTCCTGGAGACAGAGACCACACACATGACACTCTTGGAGACACACACAGACCACACACATGACACTCCTGGAGACACAGACCACACACATGACACTCCTGGAGACACACACAGACCACACACATGACACTCCTGGAGACACACACAGACCACACACATGACGCTCCTGGAGACACAGACCACACACATGACACTCCTGGAGACACTCACAGACCACACACATGACACTCCTGGAGACACACACATGACGCTCCTGGAGACACACACAGACCACACACATGACGCTCCTGGAGACACACACAGACCACACACATGACGCTCCTGGAGACACAGACAGACCACACACATGACACTCCTGGAGACACACACAGACCACGAACATGACGCTCCTGGAGACACTCACAGACCACACACATGACGCTCCTGGAGACACACACAGACCACACACATGACGCTCCTGGAGACACACACAGACCACACACATGACGCTCCTGGAGACACACACAGACCACACACATGACACTCCTGGAGACACAGACCACACACATGACACTCCTGGAGACACACACAGACCACAAACATGACGCTCCTGGAGACACAGACCACACACATGACACTCCTAGAGACACAGACCACACACATGACACTCCTGGAGACACAGACCACACACATGACACTCCTGGAGACACACACAGACCACACACATGACACTCCTGGAGACACAGACCACACACATGACACTCCTGGAGACACACACAGACCACGCACGACACTCCTGGAGACACACACAGACCACACACATGACGCTCCTGGAGACACACACAGACCACACACATGACGCTTCTGGAGACACACACAGACCACACACATGACACTCCTGGGGACACACATTGAGCAACAGCCATAACATCTGATGTTTCTATTCTACAACATAACACCGTCTTTAATATACATAATTTATCAAACAAAATATACAGTTAAAAGGCTTTCAGTTGGTATCCTGATCTTCAGATTACCTGACCTGTATGTGACTGTGCCCTACCTGTATGTGACTATGATCTACCTGTATTTAAATGTGCCCTACCTGTGTGTGACTAGGATCTACCTGTATTTAAATGTATCCTACCTGTGTGTGACTATGATCTACCTGTATTTAAATGTGCCCTACCTGTGTGTGACTGTGATCTACCTGTATTTGACTGTGTCCTACCTGTGTGTGACTGTGATCTACCTGTATTTGACTGTGTCCTACCTGTGTGTGACTATGATCTACCTGTATTTAAATGTGCCCTACCTGTGTGTGACTAGGATCTACCTGTATTTAAATGTATCCTACCTGTGTGTGACTATGATCTACCTGTATTTAAATGTGCCCTACCTGTGTGTGACTGTGATCTACCTGTATTTGACTGTGTCCTACCTGAGTGTGACTGTGATCTACCTGTGTGTGACTGTGACCTACCTGTGTGTGACTGTGACATGTGTGACTGTGACCTACTTGTGTGTGACTGTGACATGTGAGACTGTGACCTACTTGTGTGTGACTGTGACATGTGAGACTGTGACCTTCTTGTGTGTGACTGTGACATGTGAGACTGTGACCTACTTGTGTGTGACTGTGACATGTGAGACTGTGACCTTCTTGTGTGTGACTGTGACCTACTTGTGCGTGCCTGTAACCTGTGTGTGACTGTGATCTACCTGTGTGTGACTGTGACCTACTTGTTTGTGACTGTGACCTACTTGTGTGACTGTGACCTACTTTTGTGTGACTGTGACCTACATGTGTCTGACTGAGACCTGTGTGTGACTGTGACCTACATGTGTGTGACTGTGACCTGAGTGTGACTGTGATCTACCTGTGTGTGACTGTGGGCTACCTGTGTGTGACTGTGACCTACATGTGTGTGACTGTGACCTACATGTGTGTGACTGTGACCTGTGTGTGTGACTGTGACCTACTTGTGTGTGACTGTGACCTGTGTGTGACTGTGACCTACCTGTGTGTGACTGTGACATGTGAGACTGTGACCTACCTGTGTGTGACTGTGACATGTGAGACTGTGACCTACTTGTGTGTGACTGTGACCTACTTGTGTGTGACTGTGACATGTGTGACTGTGACCTACCTGTGTGTGACTGTGACCTACCTGTGTGTGACTGTGACCTACTTGTGTGTGACTGTGACCTACATGTGTGTGACTGTGACCTGTGTGTGACTGTGACCTGTGTGTGACTGTGACCTACCTGTGTGTGACTGTGACCTACTTGTGTGTGACTGTGACCAACATGTGTGTGACTGTGACCTACATGTGTGTGACTGATCTACCTGTGTGACTGTGACCTACATGTGTGTGACTGTGACCTGTGTGTGACTGTGACCTGTGTGTGACTGTGACCAACATGTGTGTGACTGTGACCTACATGTGTGTGACTGATCTACCTGTGTGACTGTGACCTACATGTGTGTGACTGTGACCTGAGTGTGTATGACTGTGACCTACATGTGTGTGACTGTGACCTACATGTGTATGACTGTGACCTACATGTGTGTGACTGTGACCTGAGTGTGTATGACTGTGATCTACATGTGTGTGACTGTGACCTACTTGTGTGTGACTGTGACCTACTTGTGTGTGACTGTGACCTTCATGTGTGTGACTGTGACCTTCATGTGTGTGACTGTGACCTACATGTGTGTGACTGTGACCTGTGTGTGACTGTGACCTGTGTGTGACTGTGACCTACATGTGTGTGACTGTGACCTACATGTGTGTGACTGTGACCTGTGTGTGACTGTGACCTGTGTGTGACTGTGACCAACATGTGTGTGACTGTGACCTACATGTGTGTGACTGTGACCTGTGTGTGACTGTGACCTGTGTGTGACTGTGACCAACATGTGTGTGACTGTGACCTACATGTGTGTGACTGATCTACCTGTGTGACTGTGACCTACATGTGTGTGACTGTGACCTGTGTGTGACTGTGACCTGTGTGTGACTGTGACCAACATGTGTGTGACTGTGACCTACATGTGTGTGACTGATCTACCTGTGTGACTGTGACCTACATGTGTGTGACTGTGACCTGAGTGTGTATGACTGTGACCTACATGTGTGTGACTGTGACCTACATGTGTATGACTGTGACCTACATGTGTGTGACTGTGACCTGAGTGTGTATGACTGTGATCTACATGTGTGTGACTGTGACCTACTTGTGTGTGACTGTGACCTACATGTGTGTGACTGTGACCTACATGTGTATGACTGTGACCTACATGTGTGTGACTGTGACCTGAGTGTGTATGACTGTGATCTACATGTGTGTGACTGTGACCTACATGTGTATGACTGTGACCTACATGTGTGTGACTGATCTACCTGTGTGTGACTGTGACCTACCTGTGTGTGACCACCCTGGTCGTGGAGCAAAGACTTGTCAGTGTAGGCTGAGAAAGCAGGCTGTGTGGGACTTGTGGAATGGCTGGTTCTAAAGCTGATGGACGCTGATGATCGCAGGGCTTCATTCTCACGTTTCATCATAAATACTTTCTTCTCTAATCTGAAACAGTTCATGAGGAAAGGTAACACAACGTGTAGTGTGATGAACAAGTGATTCATGAAGCCTGTTAGCTCACCTGAATGTCTGGGAAGCCTCGCCTTCACAGGAGCCTTCCTGTCGCAATTGAGTACTGACAAAATAGCTTTACACTCAAAACACAGGTTATTTATCTCCTTTTTGAAACTGGCAACTTGGATTGTATACTCCCCAGGGAGCTGATAATGATAATTGAGAGCACACTGATCCATTGAACGGGGTAATAATATCAGCACTTTAAGCATGCACCTTGAGTATGGAGTCCAGTGCAACATAAGAACAATGTATTATTTACATTTTAATAATTTTGACATGACGTTAATATGTCAGTAGTTAAGGTATTTTCCTGGGCCAATCTTAGCCAGTATCATGTGAGCAATATAAATTTCTCATCTGGAAACCAGTCCCAGGCCATGACAAGTATTTGTGACCTCAGGCTTTGTTCCTAATGATTCATCCATTCTATTTTCTAACTTGACCTGTGATTGATGAAGGAGAAGAGTGATTGAATCTTGTTTAATGCCAAAATCAACAATATTCCAGCCGGAATGGCGCCTGGACCAGACAAACCAATGACTGAATGCATCAGCAACAACCCCCACCACTGGGCCACGATGTTATGTCAGCCTCACTACACAATCCATTCAGACGACTGTCACGGCGACCATAACAGTGACTGACTGTATACCAGAATACCCATGTGGGTTTAAAAATGAGGACTAAATTGTAAGTATCACATTTGGTAAAATTCCATTAATATTTGTCCATGAAAGCTGATTTCGACATATCTCACTAATGCCTGATTTCCCCATATCTCCCTAATGCCTCATTTAGACATATCTCACTAATGCCTCATTTAGACATATCTCCCTAATGCCTCATTTAGACATATCTCACTAATGCCTCATTTAGACATATCTCACTAATGCCTGATTTCCCATATCTCCCTAATGCCTCATTTAGACATATCTCACTAATGCCTCATTTAGACATATCTCACTAATGCCTCATTTAGACATATCTCACTAATTCCTCAGCTGGACATATCTCACTAATTCCTCAGCTGGACATATGGAGAATCTCACCCTCGTGTCTTTTGGTATAAAATATATCAACATGAGTTGATAAAAGTGGAAAAACTCTAGGGTTGCCAAGGACATTTTCCACTTTTATCAATGAGTGTTGCTATATTTTATATCAAAAGACACAAAGGTGAGATTTTATTTATCATCCAACATCATTCTTCCAACTTTTTCAGTTCGTAGACAGTAATAAGCAGTGTCTTAAGTGTAAAAAGTACTGCTAACAGCTTCAGTAGTAGAGCCATAAGTGATGTAATTTGATTGTGATGTCATGGTAACCAATGATAACACAATGGTCTGCAAAGCATGGTGATACAATGTAGATACAGCTTGATCTCACACAAGCCATAACTCCGGTGGGAGCCGGTTTTGGATGATAAATCTCACTAATGTCTCATTTAGACATATCTCACTAATGCCTGATTTAGACATATCTCACTAATGCCTCATTTAGACATATCTTACTAATGCCTCATTTAGACATATCTCACTAATGCCTCATTTAGACATATCTTACTAATGCCTCATTTAGACATATCTCACTGATGCCTTATTTAAACATATCTCACAAATGCCTCATTTATACAAATTTCACTTATGCCTCATTTATCTCACCGTCTCTTCGCATGCAGGAGGTTGGCCACGTCGGCACATAGTGGGACGATTCCTTTGCGAGTGCTGTTTACAACGAATGCCACAGCTCGGGCAGCGATTTCTTTGTCTTCCACAAGTCCGTTCAGCTCACTGTTGCTTCCTGTAACACAATCACATGTTTGTAGTACACTACTCACATAACTAGATACAAACCACAGGTCACTTTCTCATGATATACCACACTGGCATGAGATATACCACACTGACACATGATATACCACACTGGCATGAGATATACCACACTGACACATGATATACCACACTGGCATGAGATATACCACACTGACACATGATATACCACACTGGCATGAGATATACCACACTGACACATGATATACCACACTGGCATGGGATATACCACACTGACACATGATATACCACACTGGCATGAGATATACCACACTGACACATGATATACCACACTGGCATGAGATATACCACACAGACACATGATATACCACACTGGCATGAGATATACCACACTGACACATGATATACCACACTGACATGAGATATAACAAACTGACATGGGATATACCACACTGACATGGGATATACCACATTGACATGGGATATACCACACTGGCATGAGATATACCACACTGACATGGGATATACCACACTGACATGAGATATACCACACTGACATGGGATATACCACACTGACATGGGATATACCACACTGACAGTGGATATACCACACTGATACATGATATAGCACACTGACATGAGATATAGCACACTGACACATGATATACCACACTGGCATGAGATGTACCACACTGACACATGATATACCACACTGACATGAGACATACCACACTGACACATGATATACCACACTGACACATGATATACTACACTGACACATGCTATACCACACTGACACATGATATACCACACTGACATGGGATATACCACACTGGCATGGGATATACCACACTGGCATGAGATATACCACACTGGCACATGATATACCACACTGACATGAGATATACCACACTGACATGGGATATACCACACTGACATGGGATACACCACACTGGCATGGGATATACCACACTGACATGGGATATACCACACTGACATGGGATATACCACACTGGCATGGGATATACCACACTGACATGGGATATACCACACTGACATGGGATATACCACATTGACATGGGATATACCACACTGGCATGAGATATACCACACTGACATGGGATATACCACACTGACACATGATATACCACACTGGCACATGATATACCACACTGACATGAGATATACCACACTGACATGGGATATACCACACTGACATGGGATATACCACACTGACATGGGATATACCACACTGGCATGAGATATACCACACTGACATGGGATATACCACACTGACACATGATATACCACACTGGCACATGATATACCACACTGACATGAGATATACCACACTGACACATGATATACAACACTGACATGAGATATACCACACTGACATGGGATATACCACACTGACATGGGATATACCACACTGACATGGGATATACCACACTGACATGGGATAGACCACACTGACATGGGATATACCACACTGACATGGGATATACCACACTGGCATGGGATATACCACACTGACATGGGATATACCACACTGACATGGGAAATACCACACTGGCACATGATATACCACACTGACATGGGATATACCACACTGACATGGGAAATACCACACTGGCACATGATATACCACACTGACATGGGATATACCACACTGACACATGATATACCACACTGGCACATGATATACCACACTGACACATGATGTACCACACTGACACATGCTATACCACACTGACACATGATATACCACACTGGCACATGATATACCACACTGGCAGTTTATAAAAGGTAAAATGACCCGTATGAGGTAATTATGATGTTACTGCAAAAGAAGTCCAAAGGTTTCCTTCAATATAAGCTCACATGGCAATGACTATTTGAAAACAATTTTTCTGATTATTTCTCAAAACATACAATTTCTTTACTGACCACAAGTGATTTGTCTCTTCACAATACACACAAATATCCCAGCCTTCCTCCTTTAGTTGATTTAAAGGTGGAATAACTATTTTTAATTTGTTTTGCCATTCCTGCACAATCGTAATGTCGAATATTAACCTGCTTTTTCAACAAATTATGAGTGAGTGAGTTAAAAATATAACGTCGCATCAGCATTATTTCAGTCATATAGCAACAAGGCAAGGCATATTATGACAAGGTATTATATTTATTTTAGTTGGTTCACAAGACCCAACTCACAAAAAAAAACTGAAATTAGAAAAAAAAGACTTTTGACAAACGTTTTCCAGGTCTACAATTAGGTGAAATGAAAAATCCCATGAGATTTTAATCACCGCTGGTGGCAAGACATCGTGACTAATATGTATAAAAATCTTTATTCAAACAAAAAACAAAAGAACAATCAATTATCTATTGGTATCTTGCTATGTTAACAATTGTTTGTTTTCCATTCATTAGCATCAGTTCTAATCTGGAAGTGGATTTGTTTTATTAAGTTTTGATAACCTGCATTGATTTATAGGACATTTTTTTTCAAAACCAACTAGACCGCCTTCGTGGTCTAGGGGTAGAGCGTCCGCCCGGAGAGCGGAAGGTCCGGGGTTCCATCCCCGACCGCGTCATACCAAAAGATGTTAAAAGATGGTACTTGTTGTTACCCTGTCTGGCGCTCGGCATAAAGGGGCTAAAACAAGGACTGGTCGGCTCGGAGTCAGTATACTGTGTCTGAGTGGGGTATTCATGTTAAACTGTGGCATGGTATCTCAGTGAGCTAGCACTATAAATCGGCATCAGTCCGGACTAGTACAAGCAGCCACACAAACACACACACATGTATACGTCGCTATATAAGTGCAATAATCTTGGATGCGACGTTAAACCCCATTTCACCTCACCTCACCACCTCAAAACTAACTAATAAAAATTAAACATCCCAAGGAAAGCTATGAACTATTGGACCCTGACATTCGAGCCAGCAGCGGGATCAAGTCACTCTACACAGCACCATGATTTGGATGAAGACGAAAATAGTAAGTTTGAAGCATTTGATATGGTTCCTAGATTATTACAATTAAGTGTGGAAAATATGTTAAGAGTGCACAGCTTAGTGAGTGTACTGTCAATCTAGAAAGGTGTTACATGCAAAAACAGAAGCACCTCCATCCCCACCTTTTCTTGAATGCCCCAAACTTTCCCATCAGCAACACGTATCATGAACCATCTTAACATTACCACTGTCAGGGGACAGCTGATCTCAAACATGCCCAATGCAGGGAAACTTGGAAACAGAGTCGTATGCTTCCAGATATTATCTTAATAACAAAGTTAAAGCACTTCCAGCTTAATGACATCTCTTTCTTTTGGGGAAACGACATGCCCGATGCAGTTCAAATGTATTGCAGAAAGCCACATGCCTCTAGATACAGAAATAAATAAAGTTAAACACATTTCTTGTTAATTGACCAAGTAAGTCTCAGCCATGGCCTGCCAAGAGATCACAAATACAATATTTCAATCATACATTCTCAAGATATTGTGTACACGATCGACCTTGACCTTCAATATCATTCAATTAGATATATAACATTGGTTATCACAAACTTGGTATTACAAATATGAATGTTCTGAATGCAACCGTATACAAGTCATTTCATGAGTGAATGACGTTCAAACTGCCTTTTAACATTTGACAAAACCATTATTTAGTTAATTATTGAATCTATAATAAGTGATTGTATAATGCTTAGATTTTTCATGAATTAAATTATCTGAAATTTCATGCAAATTGAACCATTCTTCATAATTGACCTCTATTGACCTTGACCTTAAATAAAGGTCACCCCAAAGTTGATGCATTTGAGACCCAAAATAAAGGCTCATAAAAACTCAGGTTACTATGTATACAAGCTTTTTGGACACTCAGTTCATACTGCCTGACCTTTACCTTCAGTGTCATCCAATCATATGTCATAAAACTCCCCTGGGTACAAATACGAGGCATATCAGGTATGAAGTCTCCTACATCTGTCATAAGGTGGCGGCAACAGAGCTCAAAGTCGAGAAACAGGGCTGCTTATTTCAACAATATCATCACAGATTGATCATGGAGTAAACTGGCATCTTGTCATTCACAAATACCAGTCTGCTTCATCGTCTGTGTCTTTCAATGTCAGCCAATTGTATTCCAAGTTAATTTCTGTGGGTAAAGGTGTACAAGGTATGAAGTGTGTTTGGTTTAACGCTGCCTTCAACAGTATTTCAATCGATCATGGCGTGCCAGCTTAATTCAGGAGGAAAGCCCAAAGAGATGCAGTAGAAGACAATATCACCTTGGTGAAACACGTGAGAACATGTATGGTTCTGACCAAACAGAAAAGTAACGAGGTGGTACCCAGATCCGATACAGATTCAAGCTGGCACGCGATACAGATACTTGACCAGGGTGTGGATGTTGGTGACAGCCAACATATCAAACAATTCTAAACTATTTTCATTATTTCAATGTGTGCCCCCTCCAACAGACTACTGGGCACGGAGCCAGATTCCACGTCAAATTGCAGTCCTCAACACATACCAATGCACAATATAACAACTTAAAAACTGTCAACACCAGGTGGCATTGTACAAAGCGATCATAGCACTAAGGTGACTCTCATACCTTAACATAGACTTCGACAGTCGTAGTGCTAAGTTAGACTCCTTCAAAAAGAAACATTTTCCTAAATTTACATCGTTTATACATATGAATATTCAAAATTAAATTAATGTCTGTAAAACCCTTATTTTCTACTTGTACAAATGTGAAAATGTATATATTTTAAGCTGTTGGTCACTGATGTTAGGAAAGAAATTCTCTGTCGTGCACCAGGAGTGCGCCATGCATGTGTGCCGCTAGAAGCGCCGTCGCCCACGACCAGCTGGGGGTGGTTCCAGTGGAAGAATTGTCTGTCTTATAGACTTGATACAAACAGGGCAGAATTACAGGAAGTGTGATATACACTGTGGTGTGATATACGCTGTGATGATAGA